CATTTCTTTCGAAAGATACCCAAGTCTCATCTTACGCTTTTTGACAGGGCTCTCATTCTCTTTTTCGCAAGGCAAGAGGTCTAGCTATATTAATTTTTCACCTTTCGGATTCTCACTAGACATTACCCCATTCTAATCTCGGCCTCACCAAGGAAAAATAGCAATTAAAGTTCATTTATTCAAAGTGCAGTGATTCAATTCCATGCCTACAATGCAATCCTAGAAAGTATCAAATTCCTAAAAAGTGACTGCTCTTACCCCATTTGGGACATAGGAACAGTGCCAAAAATAGCTCCTACACAAATTCCCTAAACTTAGCAAATTAATCCCCTAATTCCCTAAACATCAAGACTAAGTCAGAAATATTCACGGGTAAGGAAACACAGGCCATTTGGCTATGGAGCTCAATTAATTGGCGCAAACAACGAACGGTCAGGCTCAAAATGGCTTCTACTAAAGGAACTTATTCAGGTCAATGGGAAAATTGTTGATTCATTATATGGGTGACTAATGCCTTCATCCTTTCAACAACTAGATTATAGTGCAAGCAATTTAAGCCTAAACACTTCAAGGACATTCTAAAAGCATTGTCAAACGCTAGCCAGTTCACAAAGACACAGTTTAAAGAAAAATTTTCAAAAATTTTGACATGAATTTCCTATGAATAGACAACTAACACATGCGCATGCTAACTCTAAAAATCACATGTAGCAACTACTGCCCGAATGCCCAATTCACTCCCCCACACTTAAACTTTGGCATCGTCCTCGATGACCAAAAAATGCACTATGCACAAGGGGTAAAGAGGATAGGGTCACGCGTGCTCAACTTAACTCAAGTCAATTATTACAAACAGGCGATTATTAGAGTCATAAAACTTCCCTAAGGCGCTGGTCGGTGCAGAACTAAACTGAGTCAAGTGATCCTCGACACATCATCCCCAAAGCAAGACCCTGAGTTGCAAAAACAAAACACACAAACACACAAACAAACCCAAAAGAACACCCCGGTTTTTTTTTTGTTTTTGTTTTTTTTCGGGGGTTTTCAGAAAGCAAACAAACAAACAAAAAAAAATGCAGAAATAAGCTTGGGTTGCCTCCCAAGAAGCGCTATTTTTAACGTCGTTTGCCCGACGATACCTCATAAGCTCTCAAATAGCAAAGACTGTAATAGTGCATTAGTAATCAACGTTTCCAGCTTCCCCTCAACAAATGCCATTAGGTGGCGCAGATCCTTAAATTCTCAAATATGCGTAGGCGGCACATGGTCTTCATAACCCTCATCAACACAGAAGTGAAGTATGAAACTCTCATCCTCTTCAGGTGGATAGGGAGCATGAGTGAAAACTTTGATTACTCTAGGCATCACCGGAAGCTCAAAACATGTCTCCAAGCAAGGAGTAGGAGCAACACCGTAATCAAACTGCACCATAGAAAAGTCTTCTTCTTCCTCACAAATATCATGAAAATTCACAACCTCTCCTTTGGACTCTGTATCACTCCCCATGAAGGCATCCCAACTCTCGTTAACATTGTTCTTCTCAATATCTTCCCGGATGATGTTGTCATTCTCCACACTAAAAGGAATATCGTCATCAAGGAGTGAATCAAAGAAGTCCATATCTGAAGCCATGTAAGAGTGGACCGGTACATGTGTACAAGAGGGGAATTCTTGCTTATGAAGCGGGACTTCTTCATTATGAACATCATGTAACTCGCCCTCACTCTCTTGGAGCATGTAATCATCTTTTCCCAACTCATCTTCAATACCCAAACCTACCTCAGTAGCTCCATCATCATGACTGATCTGCTCCTTTCCCTCATCAGGTGTATTTCCTGATTACGAAGGTTCAGGTGTTCGAGAGCTTCAAGACATTTTACGTCTTGGTGGAACGTGAAACAGGAAAGAAGTTGAAATGTCTCCGATCTGATAATGGAGGCAAGTATACTTCTAAGGCGTTCGATGCATATTGCAGAGAATATGACATTCGACATGAGAAGTCAGTACCACGCACCCCTCAGTACAACGGCGTTGCTGAAAGAATGAACCGAACTATCATGGAGCGTGTCCGGAGCATGCTGAATATGGCTAAACTTCCGAAGTCAATCTGGGGAGAAGCAGTCAACACTGCATGCTATCTTATCAACCGTTCACCTTTAGTACCACTGAACTTTGAAGTTCCAGAGAGGCTATGGACAGGTAAGGATCCTACATACTCACATCTTAGAGTATTTGGTTGTTCATCATATGCACATGTATCCAAGGAGCTCAGACAGAAGCTTGATGCAAGAACAATCCCATGCATTTTTGTTGGCTACGGAAATGAAGAGTTCGGATACAGGCTATGGGATCTTAAGGAGAAAAAGGTGTTCAGAAGTACGAAGATTTGACAATAGAGGACATTGAAAAACCCACAATGTCTCGGAAGTCAAATGAGGGTGCTCAAGTTTCAAATGAAGCACCAGAAGAGGACGAAGTGCATGAAGATAACTCAGAAGCCGAAGAACACGAGGAGACAGAAAAGAGTGCAGAGCAAGGGGAGACACAATCCACCCCGCCAGACACAGATGATGGTAGCTCTTCTCAGATGGTTCCTACTGTTCGTAGATCTGAACGAGGGAATATACCATCGACAAGGTACACATCATCTGAATATCTTTTGTTAACTAAAGATGGAGAACCGGCAAGTTTTCAAGAAGCTGTGTCTCATAAGGATAAAGAAAAATGGCTAATAGCAATGCAGGATGAGTTAGAATGTCTGCAGAAAAATCAAACTTACGAGATCGTGGAACTTCCTAAAGGGAAGAAGGCACTGGGGAACAAATGGGTGTTCAAGCTGAAAAAGGATGCAAGCGGACAAGTGGTGAAACACAAAGCTCGATTGGTTGTCAAAGGATTCCAACAGAAGAAGGGAATTGACTTTGATGAGATCTTTGCACCAGTTGTCAAGATGATCTCAATCCGAGTTATACTTGGCTTGACAGCAAGTATGAACTTGGAGCTTGAACAGATGGATGTGAAGACAACATTTCTTCACGGAGATTTGAAAAAAGAAATTTATATGCAGCAGCCGGAAGGGTTTGAGAACTCAAATGATAACTTTGTGTGTAAGTTATCTAAAAGTTTGTATGGCTTGAAGCAGGCGCCAAGGCAGTGGAATAAGAAGTTTGACTCATTCATGAAGAGTCAAGGCTACAAGAAGATTACTGCTGATGAGTTTGTATACATCAAAAAACTTCCAGACGGTACTTTCATTGTTCTTCTACTATATGTAGACGACATGTTGATCGTTGGGAAAGATGTAGTGAAGATAAACCAGCTGAAGAAAGAACTCTCTAAGTCTTTTGATATGAAAGACTTGGGACCAGCTCAACAGATTCTTGGGATGCAGATCACTCGATACAGGAAGAATCGCAATTTATGGTTATCTCAGGAGAAGTACATTGAACGAGTACTTGAGAGATTCAACATGAATGATGCCAAACCAGTAAGTGTTCCACTTGCGAATCACTTCAAGTTGAGCAAAAGAACATGCCCTACATCCAAGGAAGAGATCGAGGAGATGTCAGCAGTTCCATATTCTTCAGCAGTTGGGAGTTTGATGTACGTCATGGTATGCACAAGGCCAGACATCGCACAGGCAGTGGGTACAGTGAGTCGTTTTCTCTCTAACCCCGGGAAGGATCATTGGGAGGCAGTCAAACGGATTCTCAGGTACTTGAAAGGTACCACGAAATTATGTCTTTGTTACGGAGGAGCTGATCCAGTCTTGGAAGCCTACACAGATGCTGATATGGCCGGAGATATTGATAGTAGAAAGTCTATTACATGATATATCTACACTTTTGCTGGAGGAGCTGTTTCTTGGCAATCAAGATTGCAGAAGTGTGTCGCTTTATCTACAACAGAAGCAGAATACATTGCTGCCGCTGAAGCAGGTAAGGAAATGTTGTGGCTAAAGCGCTTTCTCCAAGAACTTGGGATCCAGCAGAAAGAGTACAAGGTACATTGTGACAGTCAGAGTGTTCTAGACTTGAGCAAGAACTACATGTACCATTCTTGTACAAAGCATATTGATGTTCGGTATCACTGGATACGGGAGACGATTGATCAACAACTGTTGAGACTAGTGAAGATCAACGCCAAGGAGAATCCATGCCATCAGACATGCTGACAAAGGTGGTGACATGAGATAAGCTAGAGCTGTGCAGAGACATAGTCGGGATGTTTGTTTTGAATATGTCTGGAAGGGGGGAATTGAAGAATTCAATTTTCAGGTCATATCCAAGTACAAGCAAATTGAAGAATCAAATTCCTAGCTTCCATGAAACTTCCTCCATGTGCAAGTATATGTCTCTGGGAAGTTTCCTCACACCAAGGAACCACCTTCCTCACACCTCCATTGAAGCTTCTCTTAAGCTTCCACCCATCTTCCTCCCACCTCCCTAGTACCTAGTTTTAGTGCTATAAATAGAGAGTTTGGAGAGTCTTTCTATCATCAAGTAATTAGAATAGATCATCTATCATAGCACAACTAAGAGTGTTGTGAATATCCTTGAGAGATATGCGAGGTGTTGTTTTGAGAGTTTTTAGTTAGAGCTTGTATGTCTCTTCTTTCTATTTTTGAAAGTAATAGAAGTGTTTTTCTCTCATATTAGCACGATCCTGTTATTCTGAAATGGTTGAGTGACAAACAACAATGGTATCGGCCCATCACGAATAAGTTAGCAACAACATTTCCATTCCTTTCAGCTAGGGTTCAAAGTTACTGCAAATTAAACTTGATTGTACCAGTTTCGTGCTAATTCTGTTTCCATTCCAAACCAATTTTGTATCAATTAGTGCCAATTTCATGTCATTTTTATGGCCATTCCTTGGTAATCCAATTTCGTCCCAATATTAATGTAGGGTTTTGTATTTATAGATGCATATGGTATATCATACGTATAGTATATAAAATTAGATACTTTCACAAAAAAGGTTAGTTGTTGAAGTACGCGATATAATCTTCATAAAATTACAATTACATTGAAAAAAGATGGAAAATAAGCACCACGGACTCTCAACTATTCCACATATTGAAGAAGCCCGGATGTGCACCCTGAACCGGTCCACCGGTCCACCCGGAATAGGCCATGCCAATTCCAACTTCCTCTCCTCCTCCCGGATAACCTCCACCGAAATATCTGCCGCCGCCATCATGGCCGCTGCTACTCCCCATCACCGACGACGACGACTCTCCGCCAATGCTCATCAACTCGTGTTCCATATAAGGGTGGGGCTGGTAACTGCTATACTCCGAGCAAGTCTGGCGGAGCTGAAGCTGCGTCTGGACGTAGCTGATCGGAGCTTCTTGTATGCATTGGTGGTGGTGAAGGGAGAAGTCTTGAACTCCGGGCAGGGCTCGCAAAGGCTGCGCGTCGAAGGGCGGCGGCATGAGAGTAAATGGAGCGTGCAAGGCTCCAGTGGAGGCGGAGCTCGAGTCGCAGAAGAAGTGGAAGTTGGAGGCTGCGCCGAGGGCTAGCGCGGACATTTCGTGATCACGCCTCCGGGAAGACTCGAGAGCTTGCGCTTCCCGGAGGCGCTTGGCGGCGCCTCCGCCGATGGGGAGGGTTTCGCTTTCGAGGATGGCTTTGACGTCGTAGCGGCTCATGTCGAAGTTGGTGACGGCGTTGAGGCCCCGGAACTTTATGGCCGCTATGTCGTACGCTTCTGCCGCTTCTTCTTCCGTGCCTGCATGCAAAATGACCATTAGGGACACTGCTTAACTACTCAATTACTTCACTGAAATTTAAGTGTTTAAGTAATGCGTTTTTTTGGGAAAAAATTTATAAAAGTATAAAATTGGTATAAGTATATACCAGTAATAAATAAACAATGAGCCAATCATATCAACTGTAGGTACGGTACTCTTAAAAATTACTCGGTAGATTATTAGGGCATAGTTCGTATCATTCACCGTAATTAAAATCATTATACTAAAAAAGAATACGGGATTAACACGAATTTGACATATATTTATCTATAATTCCGTGTCAAATAGTTCGTATCAAAGTGTTTTTGAAACAGATTTGACATATACGAGCTAAATCTTCTATGAATTTTGACGAATCACTACTAAAAATATCTATCAAACTCGTTTTTTTTGTAGTGTTATCCAAACTTTAAAAATTATTTGACCAAGAAATTCAACGGTGACAAATTTTTGTGGTACCAAGGGAGTATTTAATTAGGTCCGACTTGTTTTGATAAAATTTGATATGGTTTATTTAAGTTCAATATCTTCAAATGTGTCATGAGAAATGAGAATGACATCCCTCTAAATGAAAACATAATTACTCATTAGCAAATTAAACCAGATGAGAACAAAAAAATGTGAACTGAACGTTTTCTGAGTCCATTCGTAAGTACATTCGGAGTAAAATATACTAGTATGAATTTGCACCAATTAAATGACATACTTGATACTCCTAACGACATCCTGCGTATGTATTTAAGCTTATGTTAAAAAAAAGTTTGGCCAATTTTCCAGTTTATAAATTAATTAAGACGCTTTGTGAAACGATTAAACCAATCCAAAAACATGTATCTCGTTTAACATAAACCAGAAAGAGGAATAATTGCTTACCAAAAGTTCCTAAGTAGAGGTCTTTGTTTCCAGCAACCCTCCCAATTCTTGCCTGCCATCTACCATGCTGATGATGCCTGCTTGTAGATACTCTTCATGAGAGAGATGGAAAGGGGAGAAGAGATAGAGAGGATATTTAACCTCATTTATTTTGGAGATTAAAATTTGAGTAATCATAGAAAATTAGTACTAATAAAGAATTAATTAAGATTGCTAGCTTAATAGGATATATCAATTGTGTATGAATATACGTATATGAACCTTGTTACGCCGCGGTACATAGATGCACCTCTTGAGAAACCGCTACTTCTCCTGGAATTGTTTAGCAAAATTACAATCAAATTAATAAGTAAATACTAATTAATGATAATATTATTACCTTCATAAGTTGCAAAATAGATAACCGCGGTACATAATTTTATTACCTAAATACTAAAATATGAACCTACGAAGTATATTTAAAAAAAAAGTTACATTACATACTCTAGGAGGAAATTACAAATTCTGCAATTTATAATAATAATACGTAGTATAATGTTGGAGTGTCTGTTTCTCTATAGCCTATAGGTAAAATACAAAATACGTACTCCCGTTTTGAGAAATATAGTTTTCTCATCAATTGAGAAATACTTCAATTTTCAATTCTCTCAAATTGAAATTAAATGTTTCAACTTTCTCAACTGAAACTGCTTTAATATAAGAGACTATCTAAACAAAATACTTGTGGTAATTACTAATAATCTGCAATAAAATTACTTTATAAAACGCTGCAATTGATTACCTTCTGATGGAGGCTACAAATTCTTGTCTAGTCATGTGCTTCATATCCTCCAATTCCTTCTCATAGTCACTAATCTGTCGTTAATTTGCAATTTCCAAAAAAGATTGATTAGGTTTTGTCTAAATGGTTTTTAGCTATTTAACCAGAAGCTCAATTAGATGATTATCACCAAGGGGAAACAAATCCATACTGGGAAGTTAGTAGTAGTAGAAGCTCCCCAGTATTTTAGTGCTGCAAGATCGTAAGCCCTAGCCGCTTTCTCCTCCTTATCGTACCCACCTATACAAACCATAGTAAAACAATGAACAAAATTATACTCCCTATATAATTATAAACCTAATAATTAATTGACTTATTTAAAGCCCATAATTGCATAGATTAAGATTGGAAAACTCACCCAAATACACTACAGCATTACGGTTTTATTATCAAACCCCGGCAAAAATATGCAAAACAAAAACCAATGGTCAGTAACAATCAACATTCGCCAAAAATCATTAAATAAAAATACAGTATCAATTTAGTTCAATTCACAGGAAAAAATTTGAAATAAAACCTTGACGGCCCTTTCTAGATTGGCCTTCCCTTCTGCAACTATTATCCCACAAATGTGCTTCATATCTCCCTGTCCATCTATGCCTACACATACCATTCATACTGAATTAAGTGGATTTTCATAAAGAAATTAATTAACCTAATAGAAATTAATTTTTAATTCGAACAATTTATTTTAAACTAATAGCGTTAATTTAATTATCAACTGCATATAATAAAATGTAATTAAATAATAGGTGAGTACCCACAAAATCTACATATACCATTTATACCCAATTAAGTGGATATTCATCAAGAAAGTACAAATTAAATTCATAATCATAGAGATTAATTTGTAATTTGATTTCTTTAGTGTAAATTAATCAACTGCATATGATAAAATGGAATTAAAAAAATGAGTACACGGCCCATAAACTTCACTAACCTTGTAACTCCCCTATAAATTGATGTTCTTTGACCAAAACTTTCTAAAGCCCTTCTATGAGTAGCAGCTTCAACTATGCTGGTGTTGGAACCCTCACCAGCGCCGCCACAAGCGGCGGTGGTCGCACTAGGGCTTGCCTCAGCGTGACCTCCACCGCTAGTTGAACCTTTCCCGCTGCTCCCCATCGACAGCGTCACGTTACACGCGCTCTCAGGCGGATCAAGGTTATCGTAACCGCTGCCGATTTGGAAGGGCAGCGGCAAGAATCCTCCGGTGTCGCTCGGGTAGATATAATCCTCCGGCCCCGGTCCATCCTCATGGTAAGATGCCACTAGATCCAAAGGTTGGTTGTTATCAGCGGCGGCGGTGGCGGTGTTTCCGATGCCGAGGAAATCTTCTGCCACCCTTGGGACTTCGTTTCCTAGGGTGTTGATGAAATTCCACTCTACATATATCAAACATAGAAACTAAAACATGGGAAAAGTTGATAAAAGAAAATGTTTTGACTTTTAAGTAATCAAGATTCAATTTTTCTTTCTTCTTTTTAACAAGTTATGGAACTGACCTGGATTCTGGAAAGGAGGGTTGCTGCTGTTTGGGTTAAGAAGCCCAAAGGAGAAGTGAGGATGAGAGTGGGCAGCTTCAGTTGGGGAGACTGGGAAAGAAAGCCAATTCTTGTCTGGATTCATCCTAGCAGGAGTAGCAAGTAGCTTCCTTTTGGTCTGATCTATGGGTTGATCCTTAGCTTTCTGCCTCACAAGGAGATTAGAAACTAGAGGAGCTTATTTTTACTGAAAACTGGATAGAAGATTACCCTACAAAATCATCAAAATCAGCTCCATTTACTTCTAGGGAAGTGTTTTATGCTTGGAAGACAAAGAGTTGAAGGAGAGATAGAGGAGAGTAGGATCAGTGAGGATGGGAAGGGGATAGTTAATGCATGAAGTGATCCAAGAAAGGAGTATTTATTCACTTACAAATACAAGAGATCGAGTGAAAACATGTTTTTTTTGCAGAAATGGACAGAACTATTGAAACAAACTACTATGAACTGACACGAATATAAGCTGTTTTTTCTACATAGTTACCCCATTTGTTCCCTCCCTTAGAACAGATAATCCATCAATTCTTTGGAATCTCCGTTGCCAAAGTAAATACAATTGTACTCTATACTCCGTATATATGTATCTTATTAATTGGTATTGTGACTTTACTTATTTCTGGTCAAAATCGCCTTACAAGAATTCATTCTGGACACCAGCTATTTGACACGAAATCATCGGTCAGTTCATTTCAAGTCCGTGTCAATTCTGTAATTCTTTTTGTAGTGAATGTTTCATTTCCGGTTAAATGTTTTCACCGAAAATAATACATTACAGTATAAAGTAATTAACATACGAATTATATAGATAACATTATATTGTAGGGAAAATGGAAACTAATAATCCAACCTTTTAGCGGTCTTCTTTCAATAATCCCACCTTTTGATTATTCATGAATAATTCAACCTTTGCACCTCATCTTCATTCACTGGTCTCTGACCGGTTGATGACCTGCTATTCCAAACTATTTTCTTATCTTTGCAAATAATTATACCATAAATCTCATCTTTCACAAAGATAATATTTTGCAAAGATAAGAAAATAACTTGGAATAGTAGGTCATTAACCGACCAGGGACCAATGAATGAAGATGAGGTGCAAAGGTTGGATTATTCATGAATAATCAAAAGGTGGGATTATTGAAAAAAAACCGCTAAAAGGTTGGATTATTAGTTTCCATTTTCCCTATATTGTATTTATATTGAAATGGGGTGCAGAGATTAATTATTTCGAAAGTGTAGTGCAACCTCAAATATCAACCAAAAAATTGTTTAAAAGTAAATCCCCTCACTTCAAAGATCTTTAGAGACCTTTTAAATAGTACAAAAGGTAAAAGTTGAGGATTTATTTCTCCAAAACATAACCAAGTGTGCATATAATTCAATGAAAAGTATCCAAGCTAAGCAAGACAATAATCTTTTAAAATTTGACGTAGCATAGTTTCGTAGTTATCAAAATTTGTAAGTAACGTAGTCATAATTAAAAAACCAGTAGAATGACGCTAATGATGCTTTGGTTTTCCAATACCAGTCCCTATTGGTGGATCGAATAATCATGCTAGCGTTAGTTCTTATCAGGTTGAATATTGGTGGCAACTCCACGTACAACTAATATAACCCGGGTTTGATACATCAAACCTATAGCAATTTACAAATTGTCCGGTTTGAAAAATGCGTTAATTTCTTCTATGCTATATTCATGTGAATAATTCATTTCCAAATTAAATAAAGTTGTACAATAAGTATGTGGGGGGATGATGATTAGCGCCATACTTTAAGCTATGTATATATGTATCTTACTAATTACTATGGTGATCAGAATCATAACAAAAGAATGTACTATTTACAGTCGCATGTTTTCACTTGATTCGTGTCATATCCGTGTCAATTTCGTACTACGTAATTCTTTTATAATGAATGTATTATTTACAGTTGCATGTTTTCACCAGAAATAACACATTACAGACTCACAGTATAAATGTAATTATACGAAGTATACAAATAAACATTATATTGTAGTTGCAGTCATAATGTTTAAGTGAATAAAGTTACATCATTATAATACGTATATATGTACAAATTGGTGGGTATTTTCCTTTTAACAAATTTTCTTGGACAAAAGTTTGGTATAGTAGGATGAAAGACCGAGAAGTTAATAAAAATTTAGAATAGGGAGAAGTTAATTAATAGTAATGTTTTACTATTTTTTTATCGTAAATGTTTTACTAAATTTTTTATCATAATTTTTGTTTTTATCGTACGTGTTAGAATAGTAATGTTTTACTAAAAATTGAAAAGTAATTTTATTTAAAGTGGCTCAAAATTAAATACTCCCTCCGTTCCATTTTACCTGTCCTACATTCATTTTTGGGTTGTCCCAAAATAAGTGTCTTCTTTCCTCTTTTAGAAAGAAATATGTGGCTTACACCCTTTCACTTTATTATATTCAAACCTCAATCACAACTTTTACTTTTTCAATCACTTCATTAATAATGGTTTCAAGTCAAATTAAGAGACATAAAATTGTCGTTTGAAATTTGACTTAGTTTGAAATAGGGCAATTATCGTTTGAAATTTGACTTAGTTTCCTAAAAAAACTCATACATAGTACTACCTAAAGTATTCGTGTAGTTATCAAAATTGGTAAGCAATCTTAATAACCCAGTGGAATGACGCTAGCTAATGCTTTGGTTTCCCGATCCTAAACCGGCCCCACTGGTGGATAGAGTCATGCATTAGGATGTTTTCTTTTGGACTGATATTTGCTGGTCTGGTCTGGTCTGATCTGGTCTGGTCTGTTTAAGTCTGGTCTGGTTTGGTTTGGTCTGAACTGGTCTGGTCTGGTGTGGTAAACGTCCGGTCTCTGTGTATTTTATAACTATTCAAGTCTGGTCTGATCTGGTTTGGTCTGTTTAAGTCTGGTCTGGTCTGTTTAAGTCTGATCTGGGACTGAAAAGGTCCAAAAGAAAACATCCTTGGTTCTTATCGGTTAAATGTAATAAATATCGTATAATGTATAAATTGAGTGTAATAGCACTTGCCATTGGAGTATAAAATACGTCAAACTTTTCAATATTATATTCAAAGTGTAAAAGTCTTTCCTTGAATAAATTTAATTACCGAATAAGTGAAAAATGATTAATATTTTTACATAATTTAGATATCTTTATCAATTTACTTGCATATTGCATCATAATGTTGTTTGGGACTAAGGCTTGGATGTTGTTGTTGTATTGCATCATAATGTTAAGATAGGTTATTTCCAAATTATTGTTAAATTTGTTCTTATTAATGGAGTTTTGCACATGAATAACTATAACACATGGAGTTTAATACATTTTTTAAATCACGAGAATATATCAGAAGGGGTTTAGGGTCTGTTTGCAGCAGCTTTTGCTTTTAAAAAAATACTTTTTTTAATGAAATGGGGAGAAGTGATTAAATAAAAGTTGATAGTGTTTGAGAAAAAAGTGATTTTGAAAAGTAAAAGTGGGTAGTGTTTGGT